ATAATTTTTATACAGGAACTGCAGCTGTTTAAAAAATTTTAATACTTCGTGAATAGGGTGAAAGGAGTTCTATAAAGGGGTTAAGCAAAGATACTTTGGTAAGACAAGTATGTACAAATTTCATTACAAAGAGGAATTATGATATTGCTGTCTGAGAAAGTGACTATGCGCGTTGGGTTAAACAAGAATACGAAAGAGATGATCTTTTACTGAAAATAAAATCAAATATTTTTCGTCAAGTTTCTAATAGGTCTGAGAGTTCTCTTGTTAAAGCTATCGCACACTTAATCGAGGCTTCTTTACGCTGATTACTACTTGAATATGACATTAATGTGGTTAGAGGTGGAAAACAGAGCATTGCTAGCAAGAATCAGAAGGTGTTAGAGGAAATTAGATCAAGAAGAGAGCATCTTTGAAATGGAAGCAGTATGAGGTTGCTTATGTGAAAAGTGGAAAATGAGTTCTCAATGATTAAAAAATTTGTGATCATAACAAGCTTGCAAAACTTTGCTTGTGAAAAAAAGATTTATATCGCGTTTGGGATTAATATTATAGGTAATAATATATTTCTTCATAATTTCTTATTAAATTAAAATACTATCAATATTAATATCATTTTTTTTATTAAATATAGGCAATAGATTTATACTCCATGAGTTAGTACAAGAAAAAAGTATAAAGTATTATTTGCCTATTTCCAAAGCAAAAATCTACTTCTGCGATGAGTCACTTAAAGAGGTAGAAGGATTTGTACATGTTTTGTTGACTTTGCAGGTAAGAAATTATTAAATATAGAGTTAGTTATTATTATTTATTCTTTAAAAAAAAATTCTAAATTATATTAGAATAGAATTATCGTAAATCAATAAGTGCTTTTTATACTTTATTTATCGTACAACATGAACTATACGTAGAATCTAAACATAATACAAAGTTCAAATTAGTGTTCGATATTATATATATGAAGATGCATTAATATAAAGATGTATATAGATTACACTCAGTAAAATATTTAGTATTTTGGATTTCATTGCAAAAGTTTTATAGAGTATTTTGAAATGGATAGATTATGGTTCACGTTGTGATATTTTATTTTTTTCGTGACAATAAAGCCGTCCCTAGTGGCTCAATTTCGCACAAATAATCAGTTTACTTTTGTGTGTATATTTCGTGAATTTATTTTATTGTATCATTATCAATGTATATTAATCTGTATATGAGTATTTTTTTTGGTAAAAGTGATTGACGGGTTCCCGACCATTGGTTAGGATGTTGTTAAATTAAAAGCATTAACTAATAAAAACATTTTTCAAAACATGTACAATATTCTTTTTCTAAACATTTCTAATAAAGTTATATAAATCAGTATTAAATATGCAGATACAAAAGGATGAATCTAAAGAATTATCCGAAGTTGATTTATTGATGACCAGAATTGTGGAATTAGAATATATTATAGAAGAAAATGCTAAACGTGAAGCTGTATATAAGACTAGAAGAAGGAAAGTGCTTACCCAACCTTAAAAGTGCGGAATGCTCATGCAGATTCTTCAATCAGTATATATTACTGTGTCATCATATTTTCTACGAACAACTTTGTGGTACCAATATATTAATGCCAGAAGCTTGGGGCAGATTTCAAAGAACATTCGAAGAAAGTGGCATGGAAGTATATCAAACTCATGATATTGTGGAAGTACCTGTTGTTCAGAGATCTCCAGCAGAAAAAGTGGCAGAAAAAAGCCAATTGAAAATGAGTGAATTATTTGAAAGAATCTGAGACTGCTACTATAGGTTGGCAGAGAAAAGCACAGATGAGGCATTACGATTCATTGGCAATTTGGAAAAAATATTAGAGCCAGCGATCAATTGAAAAAAAAAAATTAAAAAATAAATAAAAATA